TGTATTTTAAGTGGAAGCTATATTTTCTTCAGGAATAGGTTTTGCAAGTGCTACCATTTAATGATGCTTTGGGGTGATGGGTGGTCGGGGTACAAAGGTTACTGCACCAAAGACCCAGTTTTCTCAGCTCTGGGACCAGGCAAGTACAGACGACAGAATCATCCACCAGAGCCTTTCCTATATTTAAAGTTCTATGAGCTGTTATTTAGTTCCCACTACCAAAGTATTCATTCTAAAGGTTAAAAAAAACACCAAACCAATGTCCATCAGTTGACTCTGACCCATGCTGACCTCACAGGTGTCAGAGCAGAGTTGTTCAAACGGGGATTTGAGCCTCTAACTTTAGGAAAGTAGCCTAGCTCATTAATTGTTTGCATCCCTAGAGGATGGTGAGGGATTCGTTACTCTATCCTGACTCACTGAGTACTCACAATAGGCCAAGCACTGGACAAACAGTTGTGGACGACATAGCCATGGTCCCTGCCCTCATGGCGTTCACAGAGAGGTCAAACATTGGGCTAAAAAAAGTAATGATTTAATTTCAAGTTGTGATATCAGGAAAAGCAGGCGAGGAGGAAACTGTTTCTTGGATTAAACAAGAAGGTGGTTCACTGGTCCCATTGATATGATCAGTTCAGGGAACCAGAGAGGACAAATTTGCTCTAACTAGATGTTGTTCCTGGCCAGGCTACACTCACAATAGGAGGTTAGACAATGGAGGCAGAGAACAGAATCTTCCTATCCATCAGCAACTTCCTAATAAAATGGATTATAAAGTGTATCAGTTAGATGACATTCAGTTGCAAGTATAAAATGTTTGATTAACAGTTGTTTAAATAAGTGTTCGTTAAATTACATAGCAAGAAGTTTGAAGCTATGATCAAGGACACCGTAAGTATTTCACTTTAAAAAATTAGTCTTATTGACACAGACTTCACATATCATACTATTACATCGTCCAATCTTATTACAAAGAGTTGGACAATCATCACCAAAACCACTTTCTGAACATTTTC